AAAATACTAAACAGAACATCACTTCAGGAAGATATAAATAAAGAAATTAAACAATTATTCAGAAAATATTTATTGAACGACTATCCAAAGAGTAAAATTTGTAAGTGGTATAATTCTTTTATAAATTACAGATATAATGTAAAAAATTGTATAAATAATAATACTTATATTAAAATGCCTTATATACATAATCTTTATGAACGATATAAACCCATATTTAAAAAGTTTTCTATATGTGTAGTGGCGAAGCAGGAAAACAAAATGTCGAATATCATTAATATTATAAATACTAAAGGTCAAAATAAAGTAAGAAATCAGCTTGACGTCGCAGGAGTGGTTTACAAAGTATCATGTGATTGTTTGCAAGCGAAATCATATGTTGGAAAAACGGGAAGGAGGCTCGAGATACGCCTAAAAGAACACGAGGCAGCGATTCGTCTAAAAAGACAAGAGTCACCTTGGTATCATCATTGTTTCAATTATAATTGTAAAATTAATAAAAATTCGGTAAAAATATTATATAAAATAGAAAACGTGTTTAAAAGACGAGTAGTAGAGCACTTTTGTATAGTTGAACATGCAAATTTGTTAAATCAGAATGTCGGTCTAAACGTTGATGCATGCTGGGAAAAATTTATTTGTATAAAAACTAGAGTTGTTTGTTGTAAGATAATCCACCGATGAGGCTGTAACGGCGAAATGCATTTGGAGAACCTTTTGGAAAATTCTTTGAAAAATTGGAAAATAATAAAAGAAATAACGTTGGCTGAAGTATAGTATCTTTGTTAATTATTTGTCTGCCGATATAAATCACTCGAAATCGGTTTCAGAAAGAGTGTTTTATATTTACTTGTTTATTTTATCTAAAGATAATCATTTATTTTTAGAAATTATATTTTAACATTGAATAATTGTTTTTCTAACTGATAAAAAAAACAGATTGAACCAAACTGAAAAGTTAAGCTCAACAAAAACATATAAATAAAGGAAATTTTTGAAAGTTGTGGCATAAAAATACTGGAATTAGATTTGACAATAAGGACTCATCCTCATCATGTGAATAAAGTGCACATTACACAGACCACAACTACAGGAAATTTTGGATGAAGCAACGTCATCATGATAATAAATCAGGAAAATAAGCATTGTCACAGAAAGACTTCAAGCTTTACTCTGTGCTTTAAAGTTCCTTCACTAATATTCTTAGTGTTGCATTAAAATGTACTGCCAACTTATTGTAGATGCATCGACTGCACAAAGTAAAGCTTAAAGGCTTTTTCTGTGGTAATTCTTGTTTTCCTGATTTGTTACTATGGTTACATTGCTTCATCCAAAACTTTCTATAGTTGTAGTCTGTGTAATGTGCATTCTATTCACATGTTGAGTCTTGCTGTCAAATCTGGTTCAGTATTTCATAATTTTCAAAAGTTTCTTTTATTTAGATGCTCTTGTTGAGCTGAATTTTTCAATCCACAAGTTTTTTATGGGATTTCAAGTATTTTTCTGTTATCAATAACTTCATAATAGAAAAGTTTTCATGATAATTTTATATTCACATGACAGTTATACGATAGTCTGCAGTATGTCATATAATGTAATAGCTAATTGACCAACAATATACCAAAATTTTAAAAAATGGGCTATTATTTTATAAATTGTATTTTTAAAAATTATAGGGCTTTGATTTTCCTTACGTAGAAAGTTATGTAGCTGCAATATTGATATTCAGAGAAGATTTTTATGAATCTTTTCGTAATTTAGTTTCTGTCAGATTCAAGTGAAAGTTTTTCTAAACTAATATAAATTAATAACAGTAGTGAATAAAGTAAATTGTATGGCAACAAACAAGAAAAATGGATGGAATTTTAATAATGCATCAGAATAAGAGGGAGGATTTGAGAGATAATTATTTAGAGTTAGAGAAAATAAATTTATGGAGTGTATAAAGACAACAATATTCTATAAATTTCTAACAAAGTTGAATTTATTTAGTTAAAATAAATAAAAAGTAACACTTTCATTTAGTGTAATAAAATAGTAATCCATATTATCTTTGGTTACTTTTTTATTTTAAAAATACTCTTAATAATTCATTTCCTGATTATATTTGCAAATAAACATAAAATATTTAGGTGAAAGTAAAGAGAAATTAAATATTAGCTTCAAGGAATATTTACAGAAATTCCCTTAAAGTATTTATGATTTGTTTGTTCAAATTAATCAAAGATTTATTTTGATAAACAAACTATAATATCAAATCTCAAGCATAAATTTTTATTTAATATTATTTCAATATGTAATGATTGTATCTCAGACATTCCCTGAATACTTACTTTTTTGAGGCCTCCAATATATTAAAAATGGAAATAAACTAACAACTTGTATTATATTTTATAAATAATAGAATTTGACAAGAAATTTTGTTAATACAGTAGAGCGTCGATTTTCCGAATCAATTGGGGACTGGGGTTGTCCGGATAACTGATATTTCGGATAACTGACTTACGTACGAAAAAATAGTTTAACGTATCCGATGTCGAAATTTTTATCCGTTGCGTGTCGCTTCGCGTTGAATTTTCGTCGATGTTAACCCTAACAAAGACTATTGTATCGTTAAAAATTATTTTTTTATTTTGTACCAACAAAATAAATATATTGAAAAATATAAAAATAATAAAAAATTATACTTCAGATGTTAATTTAGTATCAAAAACGTAAAATATTTGAGTAGCCCAAGACATAGCCAAAGATTGAAGCGCCACAGAACTGGCGAAAATTTAAATTTGCCGACTGGAATTCTTTCGGATGATTGACGTTTCGGATGATTGACTTNTCAGGTTTAGAGATGTTTGTTGCTAATCTCTCTTGTTATAAATCTAGGCAACAAAATGCTGATCATGTAAACCCAAAATGATCCAACAAATTTGTTCAAAATTTAAGATTTTCAGAGTACTCATCATGGACACTAATTACTTTAAATTTCATTCAAATTGATTAATACATGGAGATATTAAGGGTTAAAGTTTGCACTTTAACATTACATGTGGTTGAGCTTTACTACAGAGTGCTATCAGACTCTATAATGTATCTTTTATAATTTAAATGCATATTTTTTTAATATCAAGAATAATAATTATTTTCTTAGTATTGTCTCTTTTTAATTCTGTTAATTCTAATTTTTATTCATGAAGTATGTATTTGTGAATAAAAAGTAAGATTACAAGAGTGTAGGCAAGTAAAGCAATTTTGTTTATACATTTATATTTTTGGTTTCAAAACTTGTTTTAAAAAATTCAGTTTTAACATTTTATTTTATAGATTGATGGTGAAAATAGTTCTGAATCAAATGATGGTGATCCTCAGTATGAGCCATTATATGAATCAGTTTATCAAAATATTATTTTTGATGGTGAGAGTAATGGTTCTCAGTCTCCTGATGATATAAGTAAACACAGTTCTGAAACATTCAATGAAGTGTTTGATAACGAAGATGTTAGTGCTTCTAATATCAAAGAAAATAGCAGTGATATAGGAAGAACTAAGAAAAAATTGGTTAGAAATTGGTCATTAACCAGAAGTGATATCAGATTAGAATTGTCATCAAAGTTAAATAAAATTATGACAAAACGAAATGTTCATAGTTCTATTGAACTTGGAATGAAAGAAAAACAACAAGAAACAAATTCAAAAAGAAATACTCTTATGAAATACTTCCTTGGTCAAAGAAGCAATACTGCTGGTCCGTTACTTAATTCTTCTTCAGGAAGGAAAGATATGTCTACATTTTATGTTGATATAAAAGAAAATGGATTGAAAGATTCATGTAGTGATGTTTCTTTAAAATCTTCAAACTCATTACAGGATAAAGATTATTATTTAAAATCAGAACAGTTTGATATTCAGCTTAAAAAAACTCAGTCAATGAAGCCATTATTAAGGAAAACTATTCAACGTCCAACTGCACCTCCACCTCTTCCACCAGATTCTATAGTTAAATGCAGAACTGGAACTAAATCTATGGAATTGATACGTTCTCACACAGTTGCTTTTAACAAAACACGCTCTTTAGATTCAACCTGTTATAATGATTGTAATGAAGGTGATATTCTATATAATAATATAACTATTGAAAATAATTTCCCAAATAAAGCTTCAGTCAGTGAAATATCTAGTATAAGTACTAGTGAAGGTGAAATAATTTCCAGTTCTTCATCTGACAGAACAAGTAAGTGTTCTTATATAAATTTTATGCTTCTTACAAAATATATATATAATATGTAAGTATATAAATGGAAACACTAGAATAGGAAAAATGTGAAAATTAAATGTAATAAGTGTTATATTGTTTATGCAAAATTCTAAACTTCAGTTACTAAACTAGATTCAAAAATATACTTTAATGGAGTTTCATTCACAATATATACACAAAGTGCACTAAAATATGCTAGACCAGTGTTTGTCAACCTCTAATGAATCGTCGCCCCCTTCAATAAAACCGTTACATGGTATCGCCCCCCTTCACTTTGAAAAAAAATTTGTTGGGTTTATTAGTTTAATTTTTTACAAAGTATATAATTATCAAATAAACATTTATTTACTCAGAATACATATTAGGTTTTGATATAATTAACAAAATTAAAATTAAGCATTAATAGCTGTGAATCCCCGCTGCAAGCTTCAAAATTCTGATTTCCAGGCCGAAGCTAACACCAAATTTGTATTGCATTGAATAGACTAGTCATTAGTATAATGTTATTTGTTTAATTATTGTATGATATAATGAATAAAATATCTAATTATTCTTAATATAATGTTTTACTATATTGCCCAGAAAATTGTTTTTTGTCCCCAAAATATAAATTGTTACTAATCACCCCCAATATAGAAAAAGACCCACATGGGGGCAATATTGCCCCTGTTGAGAAACACTATGCTAGACCTATTGGAATCTCTCTCTTCTCAGGTTAAATTTTTAACATCAGTATACTTCAGTGCATTCTGTGTATTTTGTGAATATAATTGTNGTTCAAAACAAGAAAAACATTCTTCTTGCAATTCACATTGAATTTAAAAATCAATTTACAAAGTTGCAGAAAAATGTCAACCCCCATATATATATATATATTTATTTATTTATTTAATTATTCATGTAATTAAAACTGAGAGTAGTACACAAATCAGTTCTTTCTATATATAACCAAATAGAAAACTCATTGGGTATTCATTCAATTTTCTAATATGATGACATTGGATGATATGATTATATATTCAAATGTTACAATTAATCTATTCCAGAAAAGCATTTCTAGAATAGAACTAACTGAAGCATATAAATCCATTTCTGTCAATTCAATATCATTATTTAAATAACAAACTAATAAGAAAAAGTTGATTCCAGATAAATGTTCAGCTTCATCTGTAATAGAATAAAATAATCCAAAATTTAATCCATTTTAATCATAATACTCAAATACTTCCAATTAATTTATTTAATTTTGGGAATTAAAGATATCCTGAAATAATTTCTATAATATACTGATCATGTAAACCCAAAATGATCCAACAAATTTGTTCAAAATTTAAGATTTCCAGAGTACTCATCATGGACATTAATTACTTTAAATTTCATTCAAATTGATTAATACATGGAGATATTAAGGGTTAAAGTTTGCACTTTAACATTACATGTGGTTGANAAATAATTTCTATAATATACTGAATATTCAGCTCAAATGTACCCTATTTTAATTTGCCATAAAAATGAATGGTTTAAGATATATAAAAGCAACAAGTGGCATCTTGTGGAAAAAGTCATCAAGTTTTAGAGAGATTTTTTTTGTACTACAAGATGGCACAGAAGTTGAATCATGAGCATTATTGTCCACTTGTGGCTTTGCCACAGGAGAAAGTGCAGATTGTGGAGATAGTGTGACTGCCAAGATATCCTGATCTGCTGACAGCTATCAGGATCATTAGTTTTCTTTCTATGGGGTTATTTGAAAGATATGGTGTATGCAACTTTGACCAGAGACCTTCAGGATCTTTGGGAGCACATAATTGCAGTCATTGCCATTGTGAGACATGACATGCTGGAGCACATATAGAAATGCAATTTTTTTCATTGAAATTTGGTGAATTTCTCTCTCATATAAAATATTTGATGAACTTATATCCTTAATTGTTAATTTTTTTATAGCCAAAGCAAATTGGGTACTGTTAAGTGGAACACCCTACACAATATCAGTAGATTTTTATCAGTTATTCATGAAGTAAGTATTCTGTAAAATATTCAGTATTTGATTCTATACTGAATGTTTTACAGAACTCTGTATACATGATCATATTTATGATTCTTCTTCATGTTGTTTAAACTGTGTATTTTTAGTCTTTGTGTTTACCATTATTTCTCTTCCACAATTTAATGATGTGGTCAGATAAGTGATAGTTAAGTTTTAGTATCTATCATGTAAAACATAATTCATTAACATGAAGATGATGATTATTATGTATTGTTATGCACATACAAATAAACATTTTTTGTTAAATTATTTTAAATTAAAAAATATGAATTTTATTTTGTATTCATTTCAGTTTCTGGTAATAGTTCTCCGTCCTACTCTAAGAGTTCTAGACATTCGGATAATTATTATTCTGTGTCATCATCCATTACGGATTCTTCGATGGATAAGGAAATGAGTTCCCTTCATTCGGACTGCAGGTATTTTATTATATTTTTTCAATATGTTTATAGGATTTTTAATTCTTTCAAAATTTATGAATATAAAAATTTTTAAAAGGAAATAACTTTTGAAATTTTTCTTTATTACTAAGACACAAGATACATTTTTAATTAGACATTGTTATTAAAACAAAGACAAAATTGGTGCTGAAATTATACATCTTTTGCTTTAAACAATGTATCATATTAGATCATGCTACCAGATAACTGTTGAATTGGCTTAGCATTTGATAACTGTTGAATTGCTGGATCAATGATTCTCATTTTCTTCAAATGTTGAAACATTCTAGGACATTGTATGATTTTTGTTAATTGGTCAATTACATTTAATTCTGTGTGAATTTGTCAGATTCTATTTTCTCTATCACATGCAAATTTTCCAAGTTAATGTAATATGTTTAGATCTATTTGAGATTGTTGGATTTTCTGCTAGTTTTATGGAATTTTGATTGCCAATATTAATAACTATACATTAGCCAATAAATTTCTTTTGTACTAAGTTATTTCTTGCAATAGGTTTATGATCTAAAGATCTTCACTTAGAGTTACAAATTCAGCTTTTACAATGTTCAGTAACAAGACAAATCACTTATAATCTTATGGTATTTATTATATTATTTTTTAACATTACACAAAGTCAGGACTGTTTTATATTGTAATCTGTTTAACAATTATTTATTATTTGTTTCATTATTCACTATATAAGATTATTTTTATCATATTCACTTAAAATGATAAAAATTCATCCATTATCCTGTTCATGTACTAAAATTTGCCCATTATGAACCCAAGTAAATTTTATCTTATGATCCAGTTTTAATTGTCTTGTCAGAAAGTATAGATGTCTAAAATAAGTGTTAGGTATTGATTGATTTATATATGATATGCTTTACTTATTTGTTTATATCTTGTTAAGAATACTTTGCTTATGTAGTGTATTTATTAGTTTAACAAATATGAGTATATTTTCCTGAATTAAAACTTTTATCTTTATTTCTAAATGGAATAATTATATTCTTGTGAATAAAATCTTTGTCTATGTATTTATAATGCTTATTGGATTCTCATTAACAATCAGTGAAACACTCTGTACCTTTAGGACTACCACACTAACTTTATTCTAATTGTTTATTTTATATTATAAGAAAAGCTAAATGCTTAAATAAGTATTTATTCTTGCCCATAAAAGGTCTAATATTTCATTGAATCTTAATCTTCAAAATTTAATTTTTATTCTGAAAATATTCTGATTTAGTATTATAAAATTTATTTTATAATACTATTTATTTATTTTTGAATTAGCTTAACTTTTTGAAATATTTTCTTTAATTAATTAATTCTGAAATTGTGTGTTTTAATTGTGAAAAATATTTATAATAGTAATTTGTTTGATTATATCACCAATACATATTTGTGCCATTAAAGGATCACCAGACTTTCCTTCCATTAAACAATGTGTGATATTTACCTGATTTATGCAAGCAGTATCAGTATTTATGTACATCAGTATCCGGAATACAGAACCACGATCTTTTTTTAACTTTAGCAGAAGATGGCATTTTACCTGACTTACAGCATGTGCATTTCCAAATTTTCCTAGTCTTTTTGCTCAGCTTAGAATAATTTGTTATATATCTATACCAGTGTTTTTCAACCTGTGGGTCGCGACCCCCAAGGGGGTCGCGAAGCCTTACACGGGGGGCGCGGGTAAAAGAAAAAGACAAGTGTTTGTAGGTCCTACACTACATTAAAAAAAAACTACAATTTCAGCGAGAATTACGGCCCACCCCAGAAAATGATAGCGGAAAAAGTGTTGAGCTGATCTGCAAAAAGAAATAAAAAGTAGAAACGTAGAAGCTGAAAATTCTGATCCTAAACAAAAAAAANTATCTTTTCTCGGCTTTCATCTGTCTAACTCCGTTCTCAATATTAAGGAAAGACAGACGGATGGACGATTTATTGGGCTCAAATTGCAGCCCAATAAATTAAGTAAAATTATATTTTAAAAAAAATTACAATTGTCAAGTGTCATTGTGCCAAAAGTAATTGTGTTTTTACATTTAATATAATAATAAAAAAATCGAATAGAATTTATAAAATAAAATTATATAATCACGAGCAATTTAATTAATTTATTTATAAAATGTAAGAATAATGAATTTTTTAAGTTATGTTATTAACAAGACATTTATTATTTAAACGATAATTATAGCAATTTTATTTGCTTCTTACAATTTTTATATATTTTTAATTTATTTTTTCTTTCTTTTTTTCTATTGTTCTTTATTTAATTTTTATTGCTGGTTGTTTATATTTTTCTCCTTTACAAGATAACTTCTTGTACAATTTATAAAATTTATTAAAAATTTTAAGCATTTTATACTTTTCCTCTTCCATTTTTCAGCATCCTTCTATCCTCATCAACTTTCTAATCTTAAATTACTTTTAATTTATATATAAATGTTTAAAAATATTATCATAAACCATTATTAATATGATTTTAATCATTAAAAATAAGGTATTTTCAGTAAAAGATATTAGTAAATTAATGTTATTTTATACGAAAAATCATCACATCATCTCTTTCTCTCTTATCGTCATCCTTCTCATCTCTTAAATTGATGTCAGTAGTTTTAGTTTATATAAATATTTACAATAATATTATAAACTATTATTAGCAGGATTATAAGTATTAAAATAAGATATTTTAATGTAAAATATCCATATATTAATGTTATTCTAAAGGAAAATTCTCATTATCTCTTGTTTTCTCTTAATGCTTATATCTTCATAAACAGTTATTATCTAGATTTTACATAAAAGATATTCATAAATTAATGCTATTCTGTACAGAAAACAAATCAAAGTCAGTTATTAAATGTTCATTTTGATTTTTATTTAAAGCTTTCATCCAAACCAGGAAGTAAATCTAGCATCTCCCACATCAAACACTCCATCATTTATCTTCTGAATGGATCTAAAAAATATTTTAAAAATATAATTATAATTATGTCAATACGAAGACGAAAAACATGAGTTGAAATGGCATCACGGGTGAAAAGCATTGTTGTGTAATAGTATTATTACGTAACGATGCTTCATTACGTATTGCTGCCATGCATCAAGTATTGTTACTTTTTAACTAATTATTACTTAACATTTCTTTATTGAGTATTACACTCATCAAACATTGTTACGTAGATGTTACTTTTTAATAAGTAACGCCTTTTACGTAACAATGTTCGAAAGCAATACGTAATAATTTACACCATTACACGAGGGAAGAAAAGATGGAAGACGTAACAGGCAAAAAGAGCATTGTTACGTAACAATGTTTTTTTTTAAAATCTGTTATAAACTTTTTTATTATCTTTCACGCACAAATTCTTTACGTAATAATGCTTAATGCATAATAATAATACATAATAATTCACAAGTTTTTGTTACGTCATAAATTATTACGTAATAATCTGCCAAAGACTTTGTTGCGTCATAAATGTTTGTCGTTGTCACAAAATTGCATTTTTGAAACTTTCGAACATCAAAAAATAGTAATTATAATGTTCAATATTTTAGAGAAACAAAACCTGATTTCTTGGAAGTGTTACATCGCTTAGAAAGCAGTCCTGTCTGTCAGTGTCTTAATATGCATTCCTTTTTGATGCTTCCAATGCAGCGGATCACTCGTCTGCCTCTTCTGGTTGATGCAATTTTTCACCGTCTACCCACTCATGCACCAAATTATGAAAATTGTAAAATGACACTTGCAGTATTAAACAAGGTGATTAATATTACTGTTACACTTGAAATAATGAATACAGTAGACGTTGTTAATCCAGTGCCTGATAATCCAGAATGTCTGATAATCAAGTATTTTCTGAAAATGGACAATAATCCATAATTGTCTGGTAATAATCTGGCATGTTGTTATTCTGTGAATTGTAGTTTGGACATGTGGTGCACTAAAGATCTTGGATAGAAATTAAAGTGAAGGTGGAGGCGTGGTCTGCACATTGCTATATGTCAAATTAACTGTGGAATCAAAAGCAATGTGATCAAGAATACTGTATAGTTAATAGTGCATACTGCCATATGCTCTGGTACTGCCTGCAACATTCAGATTACATATAACTTATTGAATTTTGCAAAAATATATAAACATTCTGTAATCTGGCACTACTCTGTCCATAGGTGCTAGATTAATAAACTTGTACTGTATAAGGATGATGGTGATGATAAAGATAATTAAATATTTTAATTTAGTAAAAGATATTTTTATAAGTGATAATTTAAAGTGTAACATTTTTGTTATGAGTCAATGAATGTTTGTTTGTATGTCTATATAATGTAGAACAAAATACTTTAAAAATACATAAATGTTATATGTATTTTAAAATTTTTCCTAGTAACCTATAGAAAAACAAAAAAAAATACCTTAAAATTAATTTTAAAACAATATAGGATTTAATTTGTTTTGAGATAATTAAATTGATTATATTTTATTTTAAATTTAAGGTGGTTCAAGAATGTAATGAACAGACACGTCAGATGGAAAGAGTGGAAGAAATGGTGACCATAAATAGGTCTTTGGATTTTAAAGACTGTAAAGTTAGTTTTATTTATTATATTTATATAGTTNCCCCAATATAGAAAAAGACCCACATGGGGGCAATATTGCCCCTGTTGAGAAACACTATGCTAGACCTATTGGAATCTCTCTCTTCTCAGGTTAAATTTTTAACATCAGTATACTTCAGTGCATTCTGTGTATTTTGTGAATATAATTGTATTAAAATCTGTATTTGAACTGATTATTACTTAAGTCTTGAAACTAAAGTTTGAGTTTGAATATGGTCTTATCATTGTCATATTATTGGGAGTCAATATTGAATTTAAAAATCAATTTACAAAGTTGCAGAAAAATGTCAACCCCCATATATATATATATATTTATTTATTTATTTATTTATTTATTTTTGTTCAAGAAATCAAGTTGACACTTTTTACCAACTTCAACTCTGGAAGTGATAGTTTTGGCAACTTCAACTCTGCTGCTGACAATAACTTTTTAGTACTTATGTCTATTGGTTACCATTTCATCACTGACATGTAATTCATTAGGCTAATTTACTAATTAGCAATGCACTGATGGTCTAATTATAATTAGAGGATTGTAGCTATGATTTTTTAACATAAAGGATGCCGCTAATATTTCTTATGCATGGAGGTGGTGCTATGAAAAAAACATGAGCAACACTAGCATTTAGCTACTTTTTCTCTACCATTAATTATATCTTATTATTTATTGTTTGTGGTGTAGGGATATTTTTATCACTATTGTAACACATATATGGCTAAAAATTATCTTCTAGCATTTAAATGTTTCAGTATTTTAAAATTTTAAACATATTGTTCAATGAATTATACTGGTCAAAAGCTTCAGGAAGATCATGATTATGGTTTAAATGTTAGTTTTAATTAAAATTTGTTGTCACTGGGATATAATAAGGTTCTTGTATGTGGATTATCATTCCCAGTAATTCTGCAAGAAGTTGTTTTAATTTTTAGTAAAAGTTTATATATGAATCTTACCTTGTCACAATAGTAACCTATCAGAAATATTCAAGAGCTATATCTTCTATTTGAATGGTATTATATATATATACTGGATGTTCATTTAAACATCTATTCAAGAGAAAAAAAAAAGATCTTTTCAGCATTGGTTAGGTTGTAAACTGTAGTGAACAAAAATATACTGGACTAGCAAATGAACCCAGCATTGCTCGAGCAAATAATTTAGATGATTTGGTAAATATTGTACATTTGAAAATTAAGTTATTACTATCAAAAACAAAAAAATAGCATCTAAAATAGTACAGTAGAAGCTGTTCTTCAGGTTAATCCTTAATCCTCTCCCTCTCCCTGCAGGGGGATTTCCAAAAATTCCTTCTTAGTGTGCATTCTCATGATGTACCCTAACTGTGTACCAAATTACCCTTTAGCTGTTTGCTCTGGGGGATGATGAGTCAGTCAGTCAGGACATGTAATTTTATATATATAGATATTATATCATCATGACAAGCATTCATTCCACTGCTATTTGCAACATCACATGCAGATGATGCTGCACACCAATTTGAGTGGTGCAACATGATGTTAAATTTACAGCATGAGGAACCTCAACTCATTCAGCAAATTTTATGGACCAATGAGGCACTGTTTTTCCAGAGTGGAGCATATAACCCTCACAATGTACAGTACAACACTGGGCAGTGTGTGCTCCACAATGTAGGTGACATACACAACACCAAGTTGTTTTACCCTAAATATCTGGTGTGGGATTTGCAGTGACTGATACCCCATATTTATTATAATGCATCAAACCTTGGATATCAAAAACACAAGTTACATCACCTTCCCTTTTTATTTGTTCTGCCTAATTTTTTCAGTCAAGGAGATAGATATTGGTGACTTCCACATGAAAAATTGGAACTTACTCTGAAGGTCATAAAAATAATATACATTTTGTCTCCAGTGATTATTCTGTTCAGTAGTTCAACTTGCCACTTATCAGGACCCAATTTTTGCATTGCTTCTCCGTCAGAATTTAGGGACCATGTTCAAATCTATATCAAGTATGGAATTCATAAAGTCTTGAGAAAGTCCAAAAAGTTCAGTTAGATTACCTGTTCTTTGTCTGTCATTCTTTTGATTTTATCATATTCTTCTGATAATTTTGTCATTTTTGCAGTGGAAATCTCCCAGGATGATAGTTATCCTCAATCAATTGTCAGCCAGCTCAAACACAGGTTTATGCCACTCATAAACCTCTGTTTGAGACAATATTTCATCATCATAGGCTTCTTTAATCAAGCTTAGAGTTTCAACGCTTGTTTTTTTATAGTTTAACACAAAATTTGATGTTTGTCCACTTCTCCAAACATGTCATTTCTGATGTGCCAATCTACTATGAGAGAACTGTTAAAATCAAATGCTATCTCTATGGTAAAACAAATTATGCATGTGTACAACCTTGAACTATTACTGAATTAGAAAAGAGGCTCCTGTCCACTGTAACTACATAAGTTACATAAATTGAAAAGTTTGGTTTAATTTTTATTCTACTCATATATATACATACATATATACATATATATATCTTTGGAAAGAGGTAAGCCAGGCTAGTAGTACTCTTTTTGTCTAAGAATAATTGATTTGTTAGTGTTATAATTAAATAATATAAACAAATGAAGAAAATAGTACAATTATTTTCATATGCCTTGCATGCATTGTCTACAAATTTTAACTCTTAAGATTAACCACAGAACAGAAGTAAAATGTTAGTAAGAAACAATTTCTCTGTCTTTTTTTCTATTAATAGGGAAGGAACATAAATTAATTTTTAAAAAATAGAAAAAGTTTGTATTTATTTAAAAAGTTCTAGTGAGACAGTCCTCAAAAATATATAATGTAGGTAGGTGTACAAAAATGCACTGCACAAATACTGTCAACACATCACTAATAATTAAAAAGACTAACTTGGCCAGAGTGTTCCAAGTCACAGTATGAGAACCACTGCATTAAAGTATTATTTGATATTTTAAATATTTTGCATTTGCAAAAAAAAAATAGCAAATCAAACAACATTGTAATTAAACAGCATTAATTTTATCAAAATCAATTTCAAGTTAATTATGTGTATTTTAAATAGTTTGAATTTACATACAAGTGTATAATTACTCAGTTTGATAATTATACACTTGCAATTACACAGTTGCATTATATGTATTACTATATATGAATTGAAAATTGCATAAAAACATGATTTATTTGGACAAAATCAATCACTGATTTTGTTGTTTTTTGTAACATTAATTTTTGGATTTTAGTTCCATTTGTGCCATTTGTACAATTTTAAAACGTAATTATTCTTTTATACGGACATTTATAATATGTGTTGTAAAATATTGTTTTTCTTAAAATTTTTACTTAGGGTCTTCCATTAGTATCTGCTTCACGTTGGTTGGTGAAAAGAGGAGAGCTAACGAGATTTTACTGTGATAGCTCATCTAAGCGAACAATAAGTTTCTCAACTCGTTGGTCTAAAGTTCCTGTTTATTTATTTCTTTTTACTGATTATCTTCTAATAACAAAGAAAAAAAGGTAAAATAAATTTAATTTTCAAATATTTTAATGTGACAATACAAAAACAGATTACTTACATAAAAAATCTGACTATATTTGTTTTAATCTTGGTAATCCAAGTTATAAATTGCATTGCAAATTTTTATTTTTCAAATAATGTCTGAAATATTACTATAAAACAATCAAAATAAAATTAAAATTGCATTTCACAATGATTGATTTTTTGATTTAATCATTAGTTAGAAAAAATAAATAATTACCTTTATTATTTTTAAAAATAAAAGAATCAATGTAAACTCTAATAAATTGTAGAAACATTTAAATAAAAGTTTAATGAGTAAATGTTTCTTCTCCTAATAGCAAATAGTGAGTGAGATTAGTAATCTTTATCAGGTTTTTCTTAATTATTTGCAATAAACAGAGATTGAGATTAAAACAGCTTACTTTATTCACCTATTTAACAATGCATTTTGGATTGGTATTATTCAATCCCTCTTCAGGCTACAAATTTTAAATTTAAAAACCAATTTTAAGAAAATATAAATATTAACAAAAAATTAAGATTTAAATTTACAACAAGTTTACAAAACAAACCTCACAGCCCAGTTGTGTCTCACTACCCAACTTCACATTTGCAACACCTTTTATGATTCTTAATAACATCATACCATGTCATCAATTTCCATTCCATTATTTAGGTTGATACAATTTTGACAATGGATAATAGCTGTGTGTTCTTTAAACATTCTTACATACATGTCATTTTTCTGAAATAAAACTTTAATATTATTTCAATTTATATTACAATTATTTTTTATTTTTTCAATATGGGATCCATGGAGATTGGTGGTATTTTAACTGTATGGCTACCAAATATAGGTTAAAATACCTATATGCGGCAGCCATAAGATATGCATTTTATCTATTGCAGACATTTATATTTCACTTTACACAAACAAAATGTGAAGTAATTTTAAAATAAGCTTCTAAACAAAGAATACAATATCACATTACTGCTAATGTGTTAAATTTTGCAACTATTATCACAATTAAACTACATACTTATATTGGAAATCACCCCAGCACAAAAATAGCATATTCATCAACATCTTATTTATTGAGAAAAACATATCTATGTTAAGTAAAGATAGCTGTTAAAGCTGCATTAATTAAAATTCTGCCATGTATATAAAGAGATTACTGCAATTAATTTCACATGCTAATCAAATCCCATGTTAAAAAAAATACCACAGTAAGCAAAGGATACTTGTATTCTAATCTATCAGCAACATCTATGCGAGTCAAAACATAAACTTTTCCAAAGATGAGTTTATATTTTCCAGAACAACAATGCCCATCTGCACATGCCAGGAAAACCAAAGCCTGGCTGCAGTCTAATCATATACATGTATTTTCCTGGTCAGCATCAAGCCTGGACCTATCTTCAGTAGAAAATGATGGAGATCTTTGAAAAGAAAGATGACTCAATGCTATCCTCGCATGTTAGAACAATTATATATATATTTAAGTGAGGAATGGAAAAAATTTCCATGTAGTTCTTACATAAGTTTGATCTTCCATGCCTCACCACCTTGTAACTCTTATTAATTAAGCAAAAAAAGTGATGCTATTCCATGATGATTACAGAATCTTAACACATTGAATGAAGTTAAAAGAAATTGTTGCTAAGACTCTGCAGATTATAAATTACCGTATATGTTTTTATAGCAAAATATTTTCCCAAAATCTGAGCTTCCTGATATGTTTGTATGATCACTTATCTTTATAATAAATTTCTTTTTGTTACAAATATAAACATCTGTCCATTGTACTATGAATTATTTTAAGTTTTTATTGGTGAATGAAATTCATTGCAGGCAGGGTTGTAAACTCATTTACTTATCTATTGTTTTTTACAGCTTATGATATATCTTTATGGATAGTGAGAAATTTTAGTTGTAGATTTTTTGTAAATTTTGTTGACTTTTTCTTTAAGGTTAAAAAGTTCTAAAAAAGGCCAAGAAAATCATTCAATATATTTTAAATAATTTCTATAATCAAATGATTGATTCTTCATTTTAATGAAACCATAATTAGTAACAATAGACAGTGATTGCAGTGATAATATAAATTCAATAAAAATATATGGTAGCTTCTCTTAAACACCTCTGCAAAATTAAATGATAGAACTAATACTTAAAGGTATGTTTTTTAAGTGCCAAATCAAAGACAATTTCATCATCAGAAAGACATTAGGAAACTTCACTTTATTGAAACCAGTCTTTGTAAAACATTCTTTTTATTCACAAAAATTTTCAATTATGATTTCATGAGACAAAATACAAATCATTACAATGTTCATTGTTCCAATTAAAAAATTGAAGTTTTCTGATATGTAAAAGTCTACTGTATTTGAGACAATGCAATGCCATCATTGAAGATCTATAAACTTCTATCCACAATGAGACACTGTTAGATATAATATATTAATTAGAAATAATATTAAGTATATATTCACTGACTAATACACAGGGATCTTTTAAGTAAATACTTTACTAGCAAACATTAATACCTGTAATAATAATTTAAATGTAAATTGAATTTTTATTGATTGTGATTATGCAGTTTTTATAGGATTATATTATTAAATATTTGCATTAATTTGTTTCTTTCATATTTCAGTGAAGAAAATTTTGTTGTGTTAGATTATTGTCCAAGAAACATGTTGCAAGTGATGTCTTTGGAAGATATGGAGGAAGGTCAGATAGTTCCACGGCTTCCCTCAAATAGAAAAAATTTTTTTCAGTTGACAATGCTGAAAAATCACAAAGGAAAAACTGTTGAACTAATACTTAGTGCAAATCTTGAGTAAGTTTCTTATGACAAAACTAATTGCAAATTTAATTAGTATATAAATACAGTCGACTCCCCTATAACACGGGTTTTTATAGTTCGGATTCCTATATGACTGCGAAAAAATTGCGACGGTATCCGTACAAACATGGTAAAAAAACTCCTATAATTTGGTAAAACGTCATCGGGCAGCCAAACTACTTTCCGCTGTCCAGCGCCACGCTACGGAGAGTTTCGGCAGGTAAATTGAGTTTACTATTGTCTGTACAGTATGTAAATTAGGTACCATAAGTCTAATACAGCACTAATTTTATACATTTCTTGTGAAAGAAACATTTCTTATTCAATGGCCATAAAAATTATTTATATTAATGATGTCTCCAAAATTCAACAAAGTTTTTGCAGAAAAATAACTTATCAGAAATCGTGGCTGCCGTTTGGTGCGCTGCTTTGCGATGAAAACAAGCTTAAGCAATGGTGACGTCGAACGGTGCACACTCAGTAAATAATCCTACAATTTTTTGTTTATAGCATAGTTTATATGGATTATTCCCAAAAAAATGTATGTATTTTGGAAATGTTGAGTTGAATAAGTCTAGGAATCGATTAATTTTATGGAAGAAAACCTTTCAAACAGCCGTAGTCCGTAAAGTGCATACGTGCCGGGCTGTGATTGGCAAGGACTCGTACAAAATGGATTCATAAAGAACGAAACGTATCTACCGTGTTATAGGGGGTCGACTGTACATACAAATGTTATAAGTACAGAATATCTATTTAATATATATGTTACTGTGAAAGACCGAAATTAGAGAATGTTGATATTCTCCAGTGAATGTCGACACATAACCAAATATTCAGTCTTTCACCAACATATTTTGTATGTTATTATATATTCAAACAATTACTGGTGTATGTCGACAAGCATGATAAGCTTTAGTGGAGGTTGAAACGACACCCGAGAAGCCAATGTCCACAGAGAGGCGACAGTCTGTCGCCAAATTCTTTGCCATTTCCTTTTGCTCAAATTGGTGATACCATATGAATACAAGTCTCTGATGTTGACTGTGGCCATACAGATGCCCAAAATGTGTTGGCGGTTGTTGTTGGAATAGAAGACTCTGACTTTTATAAATTAGCAAACAAAAATGGTACCCTCAAGCAGCTTTATACCCGTAATCAGTTCGTAATTTGTAAAGAAAAGTTACTTTCCATAGAGGAGATTTCTTCTCAAGAAATATCACTGAGAGAAGCAGCTGCAGCTAATTCAAAAAGTGGAGGGCAAGGCTATACACACTGTCATTGCAAAAAGAAGTGCTCTACGAATAAATGCAGTTATAAAAGCAAGGGACTCTTGTGCAATTCAAAGTGCCATAACACTTTAAGTTGTTGCAATAAATAAGATTGTATAATGTTAATCACATAATTTATATGCAAGTTTATTATTGTATTATTTTCTTTAATGATTTAGAATGTACTGTTTGTTTTAGATTCAACAGTTTATTTACATGTGCTGTTACTTAAGCTTTCTCCTATTTTGACATATTAAAAAGTTGCATTTTTGTCTTAACAAAAAAATACTTTTATTCAACATTCACCATCAGTGCATGCTGAATGTCGACGTTTGCTGGTGTAAGTGAGAAATGATATTTAGCAAATATTTCATACATACATGAAACAACTGTGTGAATGCTGACATTCAACAGATATCGGTCATTTACAGTAATATATATAAACAATATATATACTGTATATAATATTGTTTATAAAAACTCAAAATTAAAATAAATTTAATATTTACTGAAATTGTTTTCTTATCCTTATTTTCACATGAATAAAGAAAGATTTTATTTATTTTTGTAATATTTAAATACAAGACATTCCTCATAAATGTACCAAAAATGAAGTAAAAAATCACTGTAAAAGCATAAGAGTATAATATGAGAGTGAGAGATAACTTTGGCACACAACAAATCACATATATGCTTTTAGCACATTTTTTCATGGTGTGAGTTCAAACTTTAAAGCATTGTTTAAACTCTGAAGCAAATAATGGTTGAAATTCACATTCAAAGTACAAGGTACCACTGTATTAGAAACATTATGGTGTTTACATACCTATATAAATAAATAATTTTACTGCATTGATGTTCAGAAAATAATAATTTAAACATTTAATGACTATATAAAAATATAGAAATTTTTATATGAAATCAGTATATATCATGTTATGTTTATTCAGACAAATCTCTTAGCAAAACATTATATTTTGGAAAAAAGAAATCTTTCATCCTATATTCATTTCATACTCAGCAGAAAGAATAATTACTAAAATCATTACTAAACATCTTTGGCTACTGAGACAGATTTATTCGCTATACACTAATGTTTTTAGCCTAATGCATAGGCCATTCTTAGATGCAATACTTTTGAAATGTGTCTTGGTAGCCAAAGGTGTTTAGTGATGATTTTAGTAACTATATTCATTTCTTCACAATTGAAATTTCTTATGTTGTGATTAAGTTAGTCTATTTAGTGGCAATTGTCTGAAAACTGAATTGAAATTTAAGAATTATTTCACTCATCTTGCCATTTATTAAGTTTACAATGACTTAATTTTATCAAAAAAATTGTATTGGTTGATAAATTTATCAATCAGTTCATTACGATTAAACTTAAGAAGGTTGGATATAAGATTTTATATTTATAGTCATTGTATGATATAATTGCAATAATCAAATTGGTCAAAGTAATTTTAATTATATCTACCACAAATCAAAACAATTTATTTCACAAATGATGATCTCATCAACTTCAAATTATTTTAGTTTTCATAAATAATTTTCCTTTTGAGTTTATATTTAATTTTTCATAATTAAGAAAATAATATTTAAAAATTAGAAATATTAATTTTTAATTTTTTAAATTAATTTTTTGAATTTAATAAAACTTACATGATAGAAAAAATCAAATATTTAAAACAAATATCAAATTGAATGTGATCTAAAAAAATGGAAACTGGTAAAAAGAATTTGTAAAAAGGATTGAAGATAGGCAAAAAGTGCCCAAAATTCATTTCCCAAAATAAAGAGAGTCTCTTTTAAGGAAGCCACACATCAACCAAATTATCATGTAATTTAGCATAATGTAAATTTTATTAGAAAAAAAAAATTAATTTTGTATTGTTTTTTCGATAAAAGGAGTGAAAGAACAAGATGGATGGATGCAGTTACTCCACCCTTATCTGATAATCCTGATGAAAAAATATATGAAGTTTGGGGTATGTGGATTTTGATTTAACTATATTAATGTCACATTAACATAAAGTCATAATATATCAAAAATTTTTTATTCTTAGATTGTCCTCAAGTACAGTGCATTTTTTCATATGTTGCTCAACAACCTGATGAATTAACAATCGAAGAATGTGATGTGGTAAATGTTTTTCGCAAGATGTCTGATGGTAAGTTACACAATCTATTCTTTGTCTCAACTGTTTTAATACCGGAACTAATGATGACTATAACTGTTTAGGATGGTACGAAGGGGAGAGAATACGTGACGGAGTCAGGGGCTGGTTCCCTGCCTCATACACTGTGGAAATAGTTAGTTCACATGTGAGAACCCGCAACTTGAGACAAAGGTGTCGGCTGATGATGCTGTCGCAGTCGACATTAAAATGACAAAAGTAGAAAGGAAAATTTCTCTTTTGACCAACTCTAGGTGCCATTAAAAATTGCCATATATATTTGTGAGATTGGAGCAATGTGGCATATTTATTGTGTGAGTGCTCAAAAAATGTCATTCTAGAAATAGTTTGTAGTATAAGATTGTATTTGACGAGTGCTTTTCAATTGATTCGATATCAATTTTGTGTAAATTAATCACGTGACTTATACTATATTTAAACAGTATTTATACAGATATATATACTTTTAAATTGTTTTTTTTTTTTTTATTTTTTGATAACCAGCAAAATAATTCCAGATGGGACCATTTTTTATTTCCTTCCATATTTTTGTAATTGTGTCTAGCAATCTTTTATATCCTGCAGTATGTATTTTCTATACAAATGCAACAACTTAACTAAATACAAACATTCCCAAAACATTCCATTTTTTAATCATTTGTATTTAAGTTAAGGAATTGGAATGCAGTATAACTATCAATGGTTGGAATGCCAAAAATCATTAAGCCACAAGACGGGGTAAGAATGCAATATGTTTTATAATGGTGCCATTTTTTTTATCCTGCAATAATTATGTTTTAAATCAGTATTTATATTTATGTATAAATTTTAAAGTTATTAGCTATGAGCTTAATTTTGTTATTTTTAAAAAAATTATTTGTTTTGTTTACATTGGTAAAAATTTATTGTTTTAAAGCCAAGAAATGTTTATTTTTAAAAAGTCATATTCACTATTTAATTTAATAACATTAAAGTTTTAGACTATATCCTCATTTCCATGTCTTCCATTATATATAATGATATATATAAGATACCTCACAGTCAAGTGTTTATACAAAAAGTATTGCAATCAATCACTAAGGTCAAGCCTTTTAAAATGTATTTTTTGAAAAAGTTTCTATTTAAGAGAAATTGTTTTGTACATTGACAAAACTTGGTACTTTTCTTAATGTCATTTATCCATAAATTAAATGGCCGAATCTAAACTGTACTGCCATTTTATGCCAACCTTTTTCTACATGTTTAGATGTAGTATTTAAGTGCTTTATAACAGTAATTATGTTAAATTACACCAGTGCCTAAAGAATTATGGCATTTTGAAACATAAATAAAAATTTCATATATCACATTGTGTCATCTTGTGTTGTTCATTAAAAAACTTGAAAAATATGCTCAGCTCTTAAGATCAATTTTTTTTTATATAAAATTAACAAAATACAGTGCTTAGTTTATACTAAAAAAATAATTTTGTGATTTATAATCTCAGTAGCTACTTCAAATATATTGATAGTTTAAAATTTTGAACTTATTAACAAACATACAATTTTTACTCAAAAGAATATTTAAAATTGTAAATCCATTTCAATCCAAGACTTTTTTCTTCTTTAAAAGTGATGCCAAAGAAATGATTTAAGAATATTTTAATAATTTTTGAAAAGTTTAGTATGTTCTGATAATCAATGTTCCCTCTAAACTGTGCGGCCGCGCACTGCTCAAATTGTGCCGCGCACGAGAATTTATGTACCGCACAGGCGAGCATGCACACCAATTTGAATTGTTGTTTACTTATTTCTCACTCTGTCTGCAACATGATTATTGCTACGTATATTTCGATTAAATACATTAAATCATTGACAAGAGATAATATTTTGTATAAAAGTATGTTTTAAAATTAATTTTAATCTCTACTTTATAATTAATTTAATTTTTATAGAAAAAAATAAGATTTTATATATATATATGATCAGAAAAATTTTTTGCTCAGAATCTGCTCAGTAAAACTTTTTTTGCTCAGATAAGTATGTGTTCCGCTCATCCACAAAAAAAATTAGAGGGAACATTGCTGATAATAGTATAATTAAATAGGAAAGCAGTAATCTGTAAAGCACAGAAACAATTCTTGTAACTGTTTTAGAACTAAAAATAATGATTTTATTTAATAAAAATAACTTATTTTTTATTCTGTCAAATATAACATGGAAGAAAAACCTATAAGCTTTCCCCAAATCAACACACAAATTTATAGTTGAGATCATTCGTTTCTACAAGAAAGATCTCAACTATAAATTTGAATGTTGACTTGGAGAAAGCTTGAAACTGTATCCAATTTGGTAGAAGTTGTGAGATCATTCTTTCTGTAGAAAGAATGAGCTCACTACTACTACAAAATTGGATACAGTTTGTAATCTTTTTTTATATGGGGTAATATGATAAATGGTGAGATTTCCAAAGTATAATGTGAAGTCAAATGATGGAAAATACTATATTGTACTATTCTTTCTACAAATCCAAATATATTATTCTATTTTATCACAAAAAGCTGCTACTGTGCTTTCTTGAAATGAACAGTAACTTCTGCAATATGAAAAAAGCTTTGCAGATTTCATCATAAAACTGCAGCTCATCTAATTTCAAATTTTAACTATTTATTGATAAGCTATTCAACAAAGAAAATTTCTAAAATATATACTTACTGTAATTTTTTAATATTTTTTCTTATGTTAACAAAGATATAGAAGAAAACAGAATGATCCCTTTGGGTGGAAATTATTTGAAAGCTGTCATAATAAACATTATTGGTTGTATTAAGTTCAAATTTTGTCACAACAGTGAAGTAAAGTGGGAGTTTCATTGGATAGTTTTGTGAGTTTGACAAAGTTTGAAAATGGCACTAACCACAGAGTAACGTGCTAAGTGTGTCCCTTGGTGTTCAAAATTAGTGTGTGTGATGTCTAGTGAACATGGCTCAATGGATGAGGCAGTGGCCTGCCGTCATTAGAAGCGGTGGATGCGCCGCTTCCCTTGTAATTTCTAAAAAATAAATACATATAAATTTTAATTATATGAAAATAATCGCACAATATTTTATTATAACCGCATTATGTATCTTATTACAAATTTCTATACTACACGTGAAAAAAAAGATAAGATTGCTATTGTTTAATCAAATATTAGTGGCAGAGTGGAAACACTGAATTATCAGCATAAAAAAGCCAGATTCACGCATGCGCTTTACAGAACACCAACCTCACCCGGTTTAGCCGGTGGAAGCCTAGGACCTTGGGTGGATGCTACACGTATAACGCATCCACTTCTATCCAGGACCGGTTCCGGGCTGTTTGCCGCCCGCCCGCTAGATATTTGGCCGCCCTCGCCCAATTACGCGAATCACGATTAGATTTATAATTTAACCCAACCGATAAGAATTTACCTGTATGTTTTTATGATAGTTTTCTGTGTAGTTGACGGGAGTTTTAAAAAATCCATTAAAATATTTGATATATTTATTCCGCTCTCCGATTTTATATTACGGATTTCGATGTTAAACTAGTGAAAATACGATTTCGTATATCCCATCTTTAAGGGAATGTAGAAAAAAACGTGTACAATTCTTGTATAATATTAAAAAATTAACTGTTACTTTGATTGCATAATTTACAACTAAATTTAATGAATGAGAGAGATGCACAAGGTACAGAAAAAGCTCTAGAATTTATTTTCCTTAAATTTACGATTTATGTATCCGTTTGTCATAAAAATTAGTCTTTCCACTTTTTTCCCGAGACTACAAATAATCGAGTACAAAGTAACCAGTTTCGACTTATTTCTACTTAAGAAGTAGTTAAATAATTAAGCAATTAGGGAATTGGGGACAAATAAAACCCTGACGAAAGAGCCGAAATTTTACTTAAACAAAATCTTAACCAAACCAATCTCTAGCCGAGTACAGTGGGACTGATTTCTTTGAAATATTAGATGTAATAAAGACAGACATTTTTCCAGTTCAAAGAGAGTGACCGAAAAGTTGTAAATTTTGGAAATTTCCGTGGACAACACCTGGTCCTAAAACGAATTAGTTAGAAAACAAACGACGGACAATCTATTAAGTTTAACATATTTAGACTTTTACAGCTATGGTGAGAAACGTTTAAAATTTACAAGAACCCTGTCGCGTCTTTTGAGGTATATTAGTGATGCGACAAAAGAAACATTTGACATTGCCAAATCCCGAGGGTGCCGATACCC